GTTGGGATTTTGTTTGAATAATCTTATTTTTCAAGTTCTACTTTGTTTACAATATAACTGAAGAAAAAATAAAAACAATAACAGTAAAATAAAAGCTAGCCGAAATTTTGTCAACAGGTTATGGAATAACTTTTGGGAATTTTTATGAAAGGATGTCCATTTTTTAAGTCTTACACCAAGGGTATCTTTGTATTGAAATATGAGTAAGAACAATTTTTTTTTTTTTAAATTTGCGAAAAATCATGGGCCTTAAGTTTTTGGTGAAAATGTAATTTTTTTTGGAAAATGGAAAAAAAAGAGGTTTTTTCAAGGAAAATTAATAGATAAATATCGGATAGTGCTTAATTCGTCGGAGAACTTAAAATTGAGACATTATAAAATTGACGAAAAATATTATGTTCCGTGAAGAGTTAAAAAAATTAAAATTTCACTAACCCAAAGTAAAAACAATCCAAAAGCTGAGTTTATTTAATAAGAAGACGTCATGGCCTTTTAGAAGTTGGGATTTTGTTTGAATAATCTTATTTTTCAAGTTCTACTTTGTTTACAATATAACTGAAGAAAAATAAAAACAATAACAGGAAAAAAAATCTAGCCGAAATTTTGTTAACAGATTATGGAATAACCACTGGGAATTTTGATGAAGGGATGTCCATTTTGAAAGTCTTACACTAAGGGCATCTTTGTATTGAAATATGAGGAATAACAATTTTTTCAAAATTTTCGAAAAAACATAGGCTTAGGTTTTTGGTGAAAAACAATTTGTTTGGAATATGGAAAAAAAGAGCTTTTTTTGAAGCAAAATTATTAGACAAATATCGGATAGTGCTTAATTCGTCGGAAAACTTAAAATTGAGACATTATGACATTGACGAAAAATATTATGTCCCGTGAAGACATGAAAGAATAAAACTTTCGCTAACCTAGAGTAAAAACAATCCGACCGCTGAGTTCCTTAGATAAGAATACGTCCTGGCCTTTTATATGTTGGGATTTTGATGAAAGGATGTCCATTTTGAAAGTCTTGCAACAAAGGCATCTTTGTATTGAAATATGAGGAAAAACAATTTTTTTCAAACTTTATGAAAAAACATTGACTATATATAGCCTTGGGTTTTTGATGAAAATATTATTTTTTTTGGAAATTGGAAAAATAAGAGCTTTTTTGAAGCAAAATTAATAGACAATATCGGATAGTGCTTATTTCGTTTGAAACGTCAAAACTGGGACATTGTAACATTGACGAAAATTATTATGTCCCGTGAAAAGCTAAAAATTTAACCTTTCACTCACCCAGAGAAAAAACAATCGAAAAACTGGAAATTATTTTATAAAAAGACGTCATGGTTTCTTGCATGTTCTGAATTTGTTTTAATAATCTTGTTTTTAAAGCTCTTCTTTGTTTACAATATAAATGAAGACAAAAAAAAAAAAAACAGTAATATCGAAGTTAGCCGTAATTTCTTAAGATATTATGGAATAACTATTGGGAATTTTGATGAAAGTTTGTTTG